CACAGTTGGTCGCCGCGGTCTCGCGCGGGAATGTATATCACCCAAAACGCCACCCACGTGCCCTTAGGACGATCTGCGTTTGGCTAAGACGACGCGTTCGTCCACGTGGCACCCCAGCGGGCGCCCGCGCGGGCCCGCGCAGGGCCCCGCGGGGGAACGGTTGGAATGCAGCGGGTGTCCTTCCAGAGCTCCAAAGTCCAGCGGGTGCACCGTTGCGCTCGGGCGGTTGGCGGCGCGCTCGGTGCGGCGTCTAGCTGGGCACCCACGAAAGCGCGGGTTTCACCTTGTGCGCGCGGCGAACATGTCGGGCCCATCCAGGGGCCAGGCAGGGCGTGGGGCCGTGCCCGCAGAGAGGCGATTGGGCTGGTTTCGGGCGTGCAACGGCGCGCGCGGCGCGGCGCCTCGCTCGGGCTATATGGGGCATTGGGCGCGTCGCGGCGCGCGCGGCGCAGCGCCTTCGATTTGCCGTGATGGGGGCGCGCGCGTTCGTTGGCGCCCGCGGCGCGCGCCCCGCTCTGATCTCGGATCGGAAGCATCGGCTCGCCACCGCCGCCCAAACTCCGAAGATGCACGCTTGGAAGGGGTGGCGGGCAGACGCAAGTCGGAATCCCACCAGCCCTCTGGGCGTATGTGGTTTAGCGAGTGGTGCGTCTCTCTGCCAAAACCTCCTTCCCTTGTTCGGGGGGGGCGGGGGGGAGGGGGTGCACCACTCCCCCTACCCCCTGCCCTGGATCTGGGAGGGGGAGGGGGGAGGGGGCTCGACGCATTAGAGCGCCCAATATGACCCAAGGTTGCTCCAAGGGTGCCCCAGAAGATAGCCCAAGATGGCTTCCAAGATGGCCCAATATAGCTCAAGGTGGCCCAAGATAGCTTTCGACGCACATCCAAGATGCTTCGAGACGGCCCTGGGAGGGTTTCCAATGTCTTTCGCGTCCTTCAATTGCCCTCCCAAGAGGCCCGCATGATTCCAAAACCTAGGGACAACCAATGCTGCTTGCCTTCTCGCACGTTCGCCCCCGACGTGCTCTCAAGGCGCCAATAGGCCGCGACATTGCCCCAGGGAGCCCAAGGTGCCCAAGGCTGCCCAAGGCGCCCCCCCCCCCCACCCCACCCCACCACGCACACACGGGCGCCCAAGAACGCCCCAAGAAAAGCTGCAACAGTCGGCCCCAATGCGCTTCTGTGGGTTTCCAAGGGGTGCGGTCCGAATTAACGCAGCCCTCTTGCGTTTCAGCCGCAGCCCCCAAGATGGCCCGACGAGGCCCCCCGAGACGCCCAGAAAGAGCCCCAAGAGGGCCCAGGGGCCCACACAAAAACAAGCCCCAAGAGGGCCCACGAGGGCCCCCAAAAAAACACCCAGAGCGCCCCACGGCGGCTACACAAGGCCCCCCCCCCCACCCCACCCCACCACGCACACACGGGCGCCCAAGAACGCCCCAAGAAAAGCTGCAACAGTCGGCCACAATGCGCTTCTGTGGGTTTCCAAGGGGTGCGGTCCGAATTAACGCAACCCTCTTGCGTTTCAGCCGCAGCCCCCAATATGGCCCGACGAGGCCCCCCGAGACGCCCAGAAAGAGCCCCAAGAGGGCCCAGGGGCCCACACAAAAACAAGCCCCAAGAGGGCCCACGAGGGCCCCCAAAAAAACACCCAGAGCGCCCCACGGCGGCTACACAAGGCATCCGAGACAACGCTCCCGAGGCGGTTGTTGCACACCCTGCTGGCCACCAACACCGCCAGCACCAGCAGCAGCACCACCAGCACCACCAGCAACATCAGCACCACGCCAAACACCAGCAACAGCATCCGCAGCAACACCAACAGCAACGTCAGCAGCATCACCAGCAGCACGAGAACCAGCAACACCAGCCGCAACATCAGCAGCACCAGCAGCAGCAGCAGCATCAGCGACAGCCCAACCACGACCAGCAATAGCACCAGCAGCAGCATCAGCATCACCAGCAGCGCAAGCACAGCAGCAACAGCAGCACCACCAGCAGCAGCAACAGCACGAGCAGCAGCACCAGACGGATCGGTCCCGAGCTTGACCCATCGAGGTGACCGCGGGTTGGTCCCAAGTTTTACCCCCCGAGGTGACCACGGATCGGTCCTGAGCTTTACCCCCCGAGGTGACCACGGATCGGCCCCGAGTTGTACCACTCGAGGTGGCCACGGATCGGTCCCGAACGTTACCCCTCGAAGTGACCACGGACCCATCCCGAGCTTTACCACACGAAGTGGCTTCGATTCGGTCCCGAGCGTTACCCGCCGAGGTGACCACAGATCCGTCCCGAGCTTTTTACCCCTCGAGGTGACCTCGGATGGGCCCCGAGCTGTACCCCTCGAGGTGACCTTGGATCGGTCCCGAACTTTGCCCACCGATGTGCCAGGATGGCCCCAAGATGCGGGTGAAGCACCAGCAGCAACCAGACAGCACCGACAACAGCACCACCAGCATCACAAACATAACCAGCAACAGCACAAGCGGCACCCCAGCATAATGAGAAACCACGCAAGCCAGCCAGCAACACCAGCAGCGGCACCAGCAGCGGCGCCACCAGCACCATGAGCAACACCACCAGCACCACCGCCAGCAGAAGCACCGCCAATCTGCGCTTCCAGGGCTCTCCCACTGTACTGCTGTGGCCCGTGATACCGCCGTGGCATGGGAAACTATATTAAGTCACAAACTGTATGTTCCAGCTGGTTTTGCGCCCCTTCAGCGCGCCTCCGAAACGGCTGTGTGACTGCGTCCTTCCAAGAATCATTGGCTAACCAACTCACTTGGCAATCGTTTCTGGGTGGGCTGGTGGGGGCACGCGAAGCGTCAACATGTTTTGCCATGTCTCATGAGGGGCCCCTTGGGCCTTGGGGCAATATTGGAGGCCTCTTGGGATGTCCTTGTGGGGCACCCTGGCGGCCTCTCAGGCCGTCGCACGGCAACCCTGCGCCATTTTGGGTCTCGTTCGGGCCGTTCCCAGGCCCTCCTGAAGAACATCTTGGGTCGGATTGGCTGCGCCTGCGGCCGTATTGCGGCCAGATTGGGTTTTCGTGAGTACCGTGGGCCTTCATGGGCCGCTTGTCCGAGTCGAGCCGACGCTTCTCTGAGCCCGTCGGGTGTCACTAGTCAACTCCTGGTGCAATCACTGGTATGGTAATGCAGTTAGCAGCGCAAGCATTGATTGGGTGGTACAGCTAGCGGTCGCATAACTCGGACCCGCCGCAGCGCCTATATGGGCGCCGAGGCGTGTTGGACAGGCTCCGATGCCCCTCCCTGGCGGACCCAACGCCGACCCCAGACGCCCTGCAACGGCCTCAAGACGACCCGCCGCGTCCCCAGACATGCCCCCACGACGGCCGTCACGGCCGCCACTCTGGCCCAGGAAGGCCGCGGCTCCCCCTGCCCCCACCCCGCACCCCCGAGGACGACACCTCTGCGTTGTAAGTCCCGCGGCGGGGGCGACGTCGGATCACCGTGAGGTGCAGATCAAAAAAACAATGGCGCCCAGCAGCCCTCTCGCGCAAATGCAACAGAAAATATCAACGTCAAGCAAACATCATACTTCACCAACGTGGCGTGAAACACATGTGTTTTCAAGGGCGTGTGGCACGCAACTCAGTACACGGATATGTTTATTTCTCTGGCTCGGACTCTTCGTCATCCCGTTGCTGGCGCTCCTGCTCGAAGATGTCCTCGGACCCTGCGAGCCCTCTGAGGATATCCCTGCCGTGCCTCCTGGTAGCATGGTCGATCGTCTTATACAAGTTCTTGTGGTCCCAGGCGTCGCTGCACTCGTCAGCCGAGAGCAGCCAGGCCATGAGGTAGCCCAACGGCCTGCCTTGACCCTGCGCCCGCTTGGTCGCCCCCTTGCCACGGCGAGACACTCGGCACCGTCTCCCGTGTGCTTCACACTCGCCGCAGTACGCATAGATCTCGTTGTTCTTATAGGCGACGATAGAGCCGCCTCCAAGATGACCAGGCAGCCTGAAACTACACGCGGCCTGTTCTCGCAGGTGTGGCGGATGCTCGACGCCGAGGTCGGGGGGCTCGTCGGCGCCAGCGTCCTCCGACGAACTCGAACTCGCCGTAGACGAGCTGTCAGACGACAGCTGCTCTCGACTGCCGTCGGAGCCATCCACCGCGGCCTCGACGATGGCCTGCTCCTCCTCGACGCCCGAGGCCCCCACCTCGCCGCCGCCGCCGTCAGCAGAGCCGCCGCCCTCAGTGGCAGCGTCGCCCCCATCCGAGTCGCCCCCACCGCCATCGTCGGAGCTCTCGTCGCACGCGGCCTTGAAGCGGTCGGCCAGAGCGCGCCACTGGCTGATCCGTCGACGCCTCGGCGCGGCGGGGTCCCAGATGACATGCGTCTCGCCGTCGTGGACGGCTCTCCTGGGGGAAGGAAACGTGCGGAGTGGCTGACGCGCCCGTCCGCTCACCCCCTGACGGTGCTGACGCCTAGGGGGGCGTTCAGTTTTTCGAGTCGCGCCCAGCCGACGATGCACCGTGGACCGATTGATCGGCGGCGAGGGGTTGGACGGGCTACGCATGGGTAGTGCGCAGCCAAGTTACCGAATGGAATTAGCAACGCCAGCCAGCGCGATGTCCTGGGCCATCGGGGGGCCCTGTCCAGAACCGCCCTCCGCCTCCAACGCCGCTGGATGCCATCGTCGGGCCGGGACCCCCAGGAACACTTCGAGCAAACCAAGAGTTGCGCCCTTCTCACGCCCGCTGAAAAAAAGAGTCCGAACAGAAACACTGCCTCCCAGATGGCATCCAGACGCGCCCCGAGGCCCCGAGGAGGCCGTTGACCATCCGATACTCCCGCAAGACATCCCCACCATCGCCAGGACCCCAAACACTGACGGTGCAAGCACTGATTGGGGCATTCAGCGGCGTGTGGCGGTGAGAGAACCACCACTGCCAGCAGAGGGAAGGTGAGGGCGTGCCCCCCTGACATGCATTAACAGCCCGTGTTGTCCCCTTCTGCAGTCGGGGCTCCACGGCGCCCACGACGGTGTCGTTCTCGATCAGCTCGAAGTGCGCCAGCAGCCAACGCTTCGACAAGTCGAAGATCTCGCAAGCAGCCCACGCATCAAGACTCCTAGGCAACGCCTCCAACTCCACCAAGCGTTCTCTGAGCTTCTGGTCGCCGTCCAAGTCGACGACGTACCCTGGCGTCCGCATGGGGACGTAGAAGGGCTCGAACGGGCTCCAGCTGTGAAAGCCGACGTGCATGAACGCGTAGAGGGCACCATCGTCGCACTCGGCAGCGGGGCCGCCATCCCCATCTTGCCGAACAGCCAAGCCGATGAAACAGCACACGATGAACCCTGAATCAACGTTGGACCGAAGAGCTCCAGGGCGGTATAAGCGCCGCGTGGTCTTCTCGAGGTTAGCCCTCAACTTTACCAGCGACGCCGACTCAGGGCAGCATATGCAACGGCGAGCCTCCCAGCACCTCCTGTGGACAGGTGGCTCGTCGAACACCTCGCAGTCCTTGTGCAATATTGTGCGGGACAGCCCATGCCAGAAGCGATGCAAGAGACCTCGCAACGCGCGCACTGGGCGGGTCTGCCCCGTCAGCGCAGCGAGTCGCTGCGCCCGCTGGTAGACGGAGTCGTCGGCCCACTCGGCGTGCAAGAAATTCTGGGCGCCTTCCTCGGACTGGGCGTTCCTCGGGTCGGCAACGAATAAGCTGGCGTCAGCGGCATGCGGCACCACGCGGCCCGCTGCCAGGGCCAGCTCCCGAGCGCCCGCGCGGCCGCCCCTCTCGGCGAAATCGACCACCTGCTGCTCGGCAACCTCCAACGAGCTGCAAATCGCCCCCACCAAGACACGATTACCCCGACCCCCCCACGGAGTGCAGACCGAACCGAAAAACAACAAACACCAACGCTCCAATGTAAACAACACCGAGGAACACGTCGGTGGGGATCCGTGTCTGGTTGGGGAGGGTCGGTTTGGAGCTCGTTCGGGCCTTCTCCTCACGCCGCTCCGAGTCCGAAGAGGTCCGCAGAGCACGCTTGATGACTGCAAGGGCGTCTGCGCTCGGCCTGGCGGCCAACGCACCCGACGGGGCAGCCGCAGCAACGGCAGCGAGGGTGCGCCCATGGGCCTCCAGGGCGCGGTGCAGGGGAGCAGGCTGACCAACTCTGTCATCGGCGAGCTGAGCGCGGACGTGCATCGCGGCAACTGCCTCTGCGTCGGCGCGGGCCCTGGCCCGCTGCATCTCGCGCCGACCCATCGGAAAAGGCCTCCTCCCCTCGTTGACCTCAGCGTTGGCCTCATCCGCCTGCCGCTGGAGCTCGTCGATGTCGCCGTCGCCCAGCCTGCGGAACTTCGCCCACATCCCCGAGAAGCTGGGCTGTGCGTTGCCTTCCTGCCCGCACTCACGACTGAAGAAGACGTCGGCAGCCCGCAGCTTCCGCCTCCGCGGGGCGCTCGGGGCGCCAGCAGCGCGGGCTTGTTGCTGGCATGGCTGGTCGGCCGCAGGGCTGCTTGAGCTGGGTGTCCGAAGCTGCCGAAAGGCTCTCGCCAGCCTGCGGAACCCTTGGCCGATCCATTCGACGTTGATGCGGGAAAGGCTGGCAACCCACGTGTTGACCGATCGTGAGGCGATGATGCGTCGCAAGACGCCTTGGCTCCACTCCTGCTTCACTGTGTCCTCATGGAGCAAGCTAGCCACGTGCATCAAGTCATGCCGCGCGTCTGCGATGACCCCGTACCTGTGGTGCCTGCAGAACTGCAGCGACCAGGGGTCGAGCAAGCAATCCTTCTCGTCGAGAGCCGCCTGCATGGCATCGTCGCTGCGGATACCAGCAAACGTTTTATTCGGATACCATGTTTTCTCCAACTTGATAAGTGATGTCGTGCAGACGGCCTGAGATAGCAAGCGGAACGCAGTGCACTGCAACCTCAGAGTCCTGCATCGCAGCGGGATGCTCTCCCAATGAGCGGAGTCTGACATCAGAAAGAAAGCGTTGTCAACCAGACGAGTCTCCAACTCCACATCGTAAGCCTCCAGAACTTGATACATGAAGGTGCGGCCATGGTTGCCCTTCAACGCCTGGGATGCTGACGCTTTCTGTTTCAACTTCTTATGGTCACCACAAGAGTAGATCAGCCCACCGATGAAATCGCGGTGCAAGTTCATTGTTCTCAGCACGACGACGGCAGTGGATAGGACTTCATCTGGGCCAATAGTAGCTAAGTGCTTCGTGACGGTACCCCTATGGCTCTTCTGTTCGAGCTTTTTCAACTCTTCCTGCGCTGCGACGGTGAGATGCGGCACGCTCATGCCTGCTGGGTTCGAGTCCAGGACCGCTTGGAGCGCGCCCTTGCCGTCTAGGTCAACTCTCGGATGTGCGCCCTTCTTCTCGCTGGGATAATACACGGCAATCCACTTGCTCCATGCGTCGGCAAATATTCCCAAGCCCTGCAAAAGAATGAAATACTCCACTATCTCTTCGCACCCATTCCACTGGCGACAAGGAAACGAACGGGGTGCCCGCGGACATATGGCTGCGAGGAAATCGCGGGACAACAATTGCCGAACTCGTTCTTCAGATCTGCATCCGTTGGGGGAGTTCGCAACGTGAATGAGCCTGGAGCCGTCGATGCCGCCGTTGATCGTAGCCCATATGACGCTCCGCCTCCACACGTTCTTGCGGGTGCGGGGCGGCACCGCAAGGTCGAGGAGGTGCTCGAGACGTTTCACATGCACTGGCAAGCAGGCCCCCTCCGCCAGGTAAGTGAACCGACCAGGCGCAAGTATGAGTTTCTTAACCTCTCTCCGAAAAGTGTTGCTGTTGTAGGCCCTGCGCATCACAAGGACGAGATTGGTGTAGAACTCAATTTATGTGGGCACTTTTTTCTTGAATGGCTCCTTCTTGCAATTTGACGCTCTATGGACGCAACGCAGCTTATGTAGCAAGTGCATGTCGGGGTAGACACATGAGCGGTGACGCTCAGCTCTGATGGACGCCCTGTCTCCGTCTGTGGTCGTATTCCTCTGGTGGCGGGCGAACTTCTGAGCGATGCGGTCTGCGTCGGCCAGGCGGGTCTGGTGCAGCACGGCGTAATAACATTCTCCAGTTGTATTCGAAACCACTTGAACAGGGGTGCAGAGACTGAATGAGAAGCTGACGTATGAGGAAGGTTGGCCGCCGCTGCCCCGCTTCACAAACAACATGCCATAGTTCCATTCGGCGTTGACCAGTTTCGCCCTCTCGTCAGCATCGTCGGGCAAGTCGTTGTATATATTGCCTTCGTCGTTCGACCCCGTGGCGCCCCTCGCAGGCAACTGGGTCTCATCTGAGCGAACGGCCTCTGTGAAGACCAGGCCTACGGCGCCCCCAGCAATACAAGTATCGTACACATGCTCCATCAATCTCACGACGGAGTGGCGATCGTACAACACAGCAGCGGCAGCCGTTCTCTCTTCTACACTTTGAAACGCGTTCAATGATATGCCAAACATGTGTGCAGATGCAGAGGCTGACATCATAGTTGTTTTTTCTCTCAATACATACTCACCGATCTCCATGTGCGTCTGGTCCAACAACCCGTCTAAACTTATGTTGTTGGCGATTGCATCGCCCACCTCTAACACCAGGCGTCTGAACGACTCTGCATCTGAAACCACGAAAGGGTTAATATTGGCTGGAGCTGCGCCGCCGATGCTGTCCTCGGGTCCGCCGTCGACGGGGTCGACCTGGCTCTCGAGCTGCTGCGCCCCAGACCCTGGCGGCGCCAAGATGCCGCCGTGGTGTGTCGTCACATCTGCGAGCACAGCGTTCACGGTTCTCCGACGTGGACGGCCGCGCCCGCTTTGAGCGGGTGGGACCTCGACTATGGCATCCACGGGCGGGGCTTCGACGATCATGTCATCAGCAGCTATGGCGGCGGCGTCGGCGCCCTCGGGCGGGCCGTCCACGTCATCGTCGGTCGGAGATCCGAACAGTGACCAACCTGACAAGACTTCTGACGGGCCGCTGCTGCTCGACTCTCCGCCGAGATCTGAATCCAACAGTTGGCGACGCAGCTCCAGCCAGTCACCGCCCGTGCCACGCATCAAGGGCCCGAACCGCACTCACACATGAGTGAAGGCTGTGAAACAAACAAAAATGAAAGGCTTGTTTGAGCCAAAACGGTTACGGAAGCTCCCCCCGCCAAGGCTCTCCGAACAAGCCCCAGAGACACATTCGTAAAGTGCCCCGCACGTTCAATCCTATGGCGCTTCTGGTGGCCGCCATGAGTTCTTAACCTCGAATGGGCCCACGCAGATGAGATGGGGGGTGCGCCCGATACTCCTTCGCAATTCACTCTGTTATGACGCACCCGCTGGAGACAACCTCACAATTTGATCTGGGATTCGGCTCCCGCTCGAGACTGACGTCACCAGCACCAGCGAAAAACGCGCCAGGCACCCTACGGAGCGCGACGATACTTGTGAGAGGATGATGGCGGGGCCATCGTGAATGCATAAAAAGTATACAACGAAATGCCATACGGGTTCGGAGCGAACAGGAAGGGATAATATACACATTAGCACACGCATGTGGAGGACTCGCAGCCATGGTGGAGGACAACGCAAAGAAAGAGGAGGAGGAGAGGGAGGATATAGATGGTGGCGATGGTGATCACATGGATACCGCGAGTTTGGTTGTGGTTGCGGGGGGGGCGGGGTTTGGTTGCGGTCGCGGGGGGAGGCGGCAGCTGCGCCGATAGGGTCGCCGCAGCTGCGGCTGGCCCCATCGGCGCAGCTGCCGCCTCGTGGCACCTCTGCCCACGGGCATTTCGTGAGGGGCTATGTTTTGGGTTCGCCGTTTTGTAATCTGAATTCGTACATTTCGAATAAGATTTGCATAGTTTGGGCCTTTCTGCCCAGCGAGCTTACTGACGAGGCCAGGAAGTCTCAACGCTAACTCGGGACATCGCAAGAGTGCCTCGGTTGTCGCCCCCCTTCCGCGGGCCGCTTCGGCGATCGACCCATCGGGGGCGTCAGCGGGGGGGCGCTCGCTGGCGCTGCGGCCCTCGGCGTCACGAGGGCGTCGTCCCCGGCGCGCCCCCAGCCGACGTCTGCGTCGCCGGCCCCGCCTGCCTGTCCCCAGCGGTCGCCTCGGCACCGCCTGGCGCGTCGGCCGAGGGCGCCGCCATGGGCGCCGCCATGGGCGCGCCCGTCTGGGCTGCTGGCCCGCCGCCATGGGCGGCCCCATTGGAGTGGGCAGCAGCGGCCGGGTCTGGCTGAGTCCCAGCTGCCTCTTGCGCCGCCAGGTGTGCGTCCGCAGCGGCAAGGGCGCGTAACGATAGGCTCGATCCCACGTAGGGCCGTGCCCTGCCCTCGGCGCTGCCGCGGCCTGCGATTCCTGCCCCTGGGCAGGCGCGCCAGGGCGGACTCCCCTGGGGTGGCCATCTCCCTGGCGTAGGCGTGGCCGTGGAGGTCCTCATGTGCGGTGCGACCGCTCGCCTCGATCCTCAGGTTGGTGCATGCCCAGCCCGCGTGGCGTTGCAACCACTTGTGCCTGGCCGTGCCCGGTCGGGCCCAGGCCCCCAGTCGCGCCTCCTGCGCGCCCCTGCTCGTGCGGAACTGCGCCTGGATGATGCCATTGGAATTCCTGGAAGGGTTCGACTGGGAGCTGGACGCACGCGCGGGTCTCGCGACCACACGCATGGGCAGCTCCGCCTCTTGGCCGGGTCCATCATGACGTCCTCGTGCTCTGGCTTTAAGATGACCTTCTGCTGGAAAGGCTCTGAATGAACGCTACCGTGGCTGCCGCCGTGCAGGGGGCAGCGCGTCGGTCAGGCTTCGGCGCGCTCCGCATGGCACCTGCGTCGGCATCCGCGACCACAAGCACCACTTCCTCGTCCTGTCGTTGGCCATCCTCGGCGCGGGGGCCCGCCTCTACGGCGTCGACCGCCTCGCCCTTGAAGAATGCCAGGTCAAGCCCGATCGCGGGGAGGCGTTCCATCTCCGCGTCTAGTAACTCGCGTGGCCTGTCACGCCCACGTCCCATCTGACAGTGCTCACACCAGCGCCGCGGTGGGCAGTGCTGGTTCTCCTCGTGGCGCCGTCTCTCCTGCGGCGTTGGCTCGCGGACGTCGGGGAACATGGTCGGTTCCACCACCTGTCCCGACTCCGTCTGACGCCTCATCTCCTCGCGCCTCAGCTCGCGGAAATCACCCGTCGCCGCCCTCACCTTGCGTCTGCCCTCGTACCCGACGAGCCGTGCCCAGCGCTGAGCCTTGGCCCCGTAGTGCGGGGCGTAGATCTCCTTGAGGCGCTTCTGCATGGCGTCGATCCTCGAGCTCGGCCGAAGCCCCTCCAGGTATGACCGCCCCGGCGGCTGCGCCGCCGCCAGTGACTCCTGACCCTGCGCGGGCGCCGCCGCCTCTTGCGCCTGCGGTGGCGCCGCCGCCGCCTGCGCCTGTGGTGCCGCGGCTCCTGCCTCTGGTTGCGCCGGGCCACGCGACCCTCGAGCTTCTGGGCGCGGCGGAGGATCCTCTCCTCGCACCGCCCCCCGCGGAGCTCCTGAGGCGCCGGCCGCGGCGACCCTGGCGGGGCAGGCCGCGAGCTCGGCCCTGCCCATTGCGTCGTGGATCTGACCAGCGGAGTAGAACGTATTGCCGACTAGCTTCACGCGCGCCTGCTCGCCCGTCTTGAGGTTCACGGCGCGCGGGCCGCTCTCTTCGAAGACAAACCTGAACTGCATGCGCGCAAGCTTCCCGCGGCTGATCACCGCGTCCTGAGGGGCGAGGTCGTTGCTCATTTTGAGGCCCCCCAAGCATGGCTGGCGACCCTTCTCGCCATCGACGACCATCGGGATCCTACGGGGCCCCTCGGTACCCAGCCTCTGCCCGCTCACCGTGGTGAGCTTGGGCGCAGTGGGGCGCTCGTCACTGCCGCTGACTGCGAGGATGAGCCCTCTGCGCCCCTCCCTGCGGCGGCCTCCGACCGAACACCTGACTCCGAATGCCCAACCGACCTCGTCGCCGCCGCAGCCTGCAGCCACCGCGCTCACGGACCTCTGGCCCTCAGCGCCCACAGGGGGCCGCTGGGCAGCGGCCGCCTTCGGGGGCGCTGCCGACGGCGCCCGTGGCTTGCCAGCCGCCTTGTGCCAGCAGTCCTTCTCCTTGCGCCCCTGCTTCCGGCACCAGTTGCAGGTTCCCACGAACTTGGCGGGGTTGCCGCCCTTGAGCTCGTCCACATTGACTCCCTTCTTGCTGCCCTTCTCCGCCCTTGCCACCCTTGCCGCCTCCCGACTTGTCGCCCTTGCGCTCGGGCCTAGGCTGTTGCGGCAGGGCATGGCCTGAGATCGCACTGATCTCCATCGGCGCCGCGCCATGATCTACCGCGCCGCTAGCTGCGAAGACCTGTCCCGACGCCATCCACTCTCCCAGATCGGTCCTCAGCGCCATGTGCGAGACCTTGGCGGCCGTCGGGGCGCTGCGCAGCACGGTATTGCACGGCTCGGGGCAGTGGACGGGCAGCGTGGCGATGCGAAACTCATCGCCGAAGTCCTTCCCCGCCTGCACGACGTACCTCGCCACATCGTTGTCCCAGTCGACGAGCTGGTCAGCGAATGGCTTCTGGTCGCCCCACCTGGGGTTGAGCAGGCCGCTGAGCATGGCCGCGAACCTGTTTCCCACCCCAGGCTCGTACTCGTTCTTGATCGCCCGCCAGGCGACGAAGCCCTCGTGCCTGCCTGCGGGCGTAACCATCGCCAGCGCCTTGCGCTGGGTCTTGGTGGCCAGCATGGCATGCAGCAGCTTGATCGCCGCTGCCGCGCGCTCACCCATGCTGACGTTGTCCACCGCGAGCGCTGGCTGGGCCTCAACGTTGTCGGTGAGGTCATCCCAGCCCACCAGCGCGAAGCACGCGTGGGCCTTGATGGACCAGCTGGGCCAGTCCTCATCTCTGCCACTGAACTCTGGCAGCTTGATGTCGCCTCTGCGATCCACCAGCTGCTCTCTGGGCGCCGCTGCCATGGGCAGCGCACGTCCTCAGTCTTCCCGTGGATCTGATCTGCGCAGTTCACCGCAGAACCACGCTCCGCTACCATGGCGGAAGTTACGCGGATGAGTGGAGAAAGCGTATTTTGGGGGGCTCTTTTCCTCCAACGCAGTTCGAACAAAATGGCCTGCGCTTAAGCTCCGAACTGACGGCGTCCGAATCACTCAAGATCCCGAACAATATCTGGGAGCTGCTTTTCTGTTTCCCGGGGGCGCCTTGGCAACCTCCTAGGACGCGCCCTGACCCGCAGCAGCCCCAGGCGCCGTCAAGCCCTGGGCCACGGACTCTCGGGCCTCGTGCACGATAAACACATATACAAACACACGCACGCAATTATCCAGGTGGAGGACACAAACATATGCAGTTGTGGGTACTGCAGTTGTGATTAGTTCCTTCGGTAGAGTTCCCTAGCCGCATGCGAACGCAGCCACTGGGGCCTTCCGTGGAGCTCCCCATGGGGCCACGAAGCGCGCAACGGGTGTGCCGGAATTTGGTTGGAACTGCGTGCGAACACTGTCACTGGGGCCTTCGGTGGAGCTCGTTATGGGGCCACGGAACGCGTGAGGGGTGTGCCGAAATGAGGGGCGGAACCGGATGCGAATGCAACCACTGGGGCCCTCGGTGGAGCTCCCTATGGGACCACGAAACATGCGAGGGGTGTGCCGAAATGGCGGGTGGAACCGCATGCGACCGCGGCTACTGGGGCCTGCGGTGGAGCTATGGGGTCACGAAACGTGCGAGGGGAGTTCCGACATGGGTGGTGGAACCGCATGCGAACGCAGCCGCTGAGGCCTTTGGTGGAGTTCCATATGGGGCCACGGAACGTGTGAGGGGTGTGCCGATATGGGGGGTGGAACCGCATGCAAACGCCGCCACTGGGGCCTTAGGTGGAGCTCCCTATGCTATGGGGCCACGAAGCGTGTGAGGGGTGCGCCGAAATGAGGGGTACAACTGCATGCGAACGCAACCACTGGGGCCTTCGGTGGAGCTCTCGATGGAATCACGGAACGTGTGAGGGATGTGCCGAAATGGGGGGTGGAACCGCAAGCGAACACAGCCACTGGGGCCTTCGGTGGAGCTCCCTATCATGACAACACAACGTGTGACGGGTGTGCCGAAATGGGGGGTGGAACCGCATGCGAACGCAGCCAGTGGGGCCTTTGGTCGAGCTCCCTACAAGGTCACGGCACGTGTGAGGAGTGTACCGAAATTGCGGTGGAACCGCAAGCGAACGCAGGCACTGGGGCCCTCGGTGGAGCTCCTTATGGAGTCACAAAACGTGCGGGGTGTGCCGAAATTTGGGCTGGGAGGATGGAGGAGCGAGAGAAGGAGGGGGAAGGAGGAGGAGCAAAGGAGGAGAGGAGAGAAGACCCGGGGCACTGTGTCGTCAAAGCGAGGACCCAACGTTACAAGAGAGTTGGGAACAAACAGAAAAATATTAGCCTGGCGAAGGGCCCAACCTGAGCAGTTGTGGGTACCGTCCTTGTGAGTACTGTGGTCAGTGTATCTTCTTATGGGGCCACGAAGCGCGTAAAGGCTGTGCCAAAGAGGGGGCGGGCCCGCCATGCGGGTGCTGCCACCGGGGCCGTAGGTTGAGCTCCGTTAGGGGCCACGACACGTGTGAGGGGTTCGCCGAAAGGGAGTGGAACCGCATGCATGCTCTGCCACTGGTGTCTTCGGTGGAGTTCCCTATGGATGCTGCCACGGAACGTGTGAGGGAAGCACCGGCACTGAGCGTGAAATTGCATGCAAAATCTGCCATTGGGGCCTTAGGTGGAGCTCCCTTTGGGGCCACGAAACGTGTGAGGGGTGTGCCGAAATGGGGGGTGGAACCAGATGCGAATGCAGCCATTGGGGCCTTCGGTGGCGCTCCCAACGGGGCCACGAAACGTGTGAGAGGTGTGCCGACAGGGAGGGTGGAACCGCCATGCGGACGCAGGCACTGGGGCTTTAGGTGGAGGTCCCTCTGGGGCCACGAAGCGTGTGAGGGTGTACCGAACGGGAGGGTGGAACTGCATGTGGGCGCTGATACTCGCATCCGTGGGACTGTATTCGTGGGAGCTGTCTGTTCGCAACTCGAAGCCTTATTAGATCCGACGACGCCCAAGACAAGTGACGCACAGTTTTTGTTCGATGCGCGGTCCTACGAAGTCCCGACCCTCTCCCAAAGGCAAGCTTTTCATCCCGATTCTTGCTTCAATGGTCCAGGGACCCAGCGAGGGTCCCCAGAGTCCGAAAACTGCCAAAACCTCCCGTCCTGATTTTCCCCCGACCCGAGCACTGTGTGCACATCGAACCCCGCCAGAGGAACATCAAACAACATAGCAATGATTCTCACTCGAGCGATCCCCGCGAATCAGGGCTGGATGCGGCTTGGGCATTGTCGTAACGAGTGCAATCTCTGATGGGGTAAACGTGGGGGCTTGCTATGTAGTCGTGGGGTGCTGATATCACTATTCGCATATACTGACATTCGTATGTATGCAGCACCTGATCTTCTGCAGGGCTCGGATGTTGTACTTAGGTCCTTCATGGCGCGGTCCGCATTGCCGCTGACTTCCATACTCGCTGGTTTAACAAAAGTCTCCGAAGTCTAGTGGTCTGCCTCGCCTGCCCAAGAATCGCAGAAAGAGATTCACCCCTCCTCTTCCCTCCGCATCTCCCTGCACCTCCCTCGTCCTCTCTTCTCCTTCTCCTCCCCGTCCTCGACCTCCTCCTCCTCCTCCTCATCCTCTGGAGGGTCTTCGTGGCTGTACTCCTGTTCCAACGTGAGCGGTACTTCCCTTGGACAAAATTCGCGCCGGGCGCGCCCGCCCCTGTTCCCCACGGCCGGACACAAAAACAGCACAGTAGTATTTTGGGGATTCGGCTGCACGCAATCAGAAGCTTGCTCAAAACAGCGACTGCCCTCCTGTCGGGCTGCACGCGACCGGTCGACGGCCAACCGGCTGCTAGCATTCCACCGCGCATCTCCTGGACGGGGAGTGGCGAACGCATCGGCCGAACCCTTTTTTCGTTGACGCTTGCTCGCCGACGGCAACCCTGCTGCCAATCCAGCAGACCCGAACTCCCGTAAGTCACGATGTTCCCTGACGTTCGTTATGTTTAATGCTGTGCGATGTCTCGAGTTGTGTGTTTCATGCTTCAGTGTTTTAGTTTTGCAGTCGTTGACCCTACATTTCCTCATAAACAACGCATGGCAAGACCTTGGCAAGATCTGGTATGATAGCACATGTCAAACCTTGGTAACCCTTGGCAGGCCTTCCGCAGCGTCGGGGGCTGTCAAGGCTTACGGCTGTTATCACAGGTTGCACACTGACCGATTGGGTCTCCAACTTAACGTTCGTTTGGACGTGAATATCCTACGATGGACACCACAAGGCACCCCACGCGCGCGGAGTTCTGCAGTGTGCACAATCGGCTAGTCGCCATGTTGGTATGGGAACTGATGTGAACGCCGGGCCGCACGGTGGGCGGGTCACCCGCCGCGCGTGCGCGAGCTCATGGCGACTTCTGTATGGTCCACAATCGGAAAAAGCGCCACGCTGGCCTGGAAACTAAAGTGAACGTTTTGACGGTGACGGAAGTGATGTTGAAATGAACATGGGTGTTGGTGTACCGTTTCATGCATGATCCACACAGAAATCCCCTTCCCGATCGCGGTGCCACATGCCAGCGAAGCCACTGGGGCCCTCGGTGGGACTCCCAATGGTGCCACGACACGTGTGAGGGGTGTGGCGGCATGGGCGCGGTGGCGCCATGCGATCGCAGCCACAGGGGGCACTCCGTGGAGCTCCCCATGGGGCCACGAAGCGTGCGGGGTGTGCGGAAGTGGGCGCCGTGGTGCCATGCGAGCGCAGCCGCTGGGGCCCCCTGTAGGACCATGAAGCGTGTGAGGGGTGTGGTGAAATGGGTGCTGTGATGCCATGCGAGCGCAGCCACTGGGGTCTTGGGTGGAGCTCCCTATGTGGCCGCGAAACGTGTGAAGGGTGTGCCGAAATCCTTGTGGTGGTGCCGTGCGACCGCGGCCACTGGTGCCCTCGGTGGACCTCCCTGAAGAGCCACGAAGCGTGTGAGAGTTGTGCCGAAACAGAAACATGCGGGTGGCAGAGGCAAGGATGGGACGAGGGAGGAGTGGGAGGATGCGGGGTGCTGTCTCTTCAAAACGACGACCCAACACCACATAATGGTTGGGAAAAGGGGGCTGGCTGGTCGCGAGGTCGGCGGGGCCCCTTTTCCCGACCCTCCCTTGGTTGAGTTCTCGTTTTGAATAGAGCAGTGGGGTCTCCACCTTCTCATGCTCCTCCTGCTCCTCGCCCCCCCCGCTGTCCTCTCGGCGCCCTCCTCTGGCAGCTCTCTTGGGGGCTGCGAAATGTGAAACTGTCGCCACGTTCGAGGGCCGATGGGGGAGCCCGCATCATGGGGCCGCACGCGAACCCAAACGGCACCTCACCATCCCTGGGGGGCTCTCCCCAGGGCTGCAGGGGGAGCCCGCACAGTGGGGCCCCACGCGGACCCAAGCGGGACCTCGCCATCCCTGGGGGGCTGCGACAGAGCGAAGCCACCGCCACGCTCGAGGGCTGCAAGGGGCCTCTTGGGGCCTCTGGGGGCCCTCTTTTGGGGCCCGCTGGTGGTCTGAGGGGCTCTCTGAGGCAGTCTTGAAGCCCGCGATTTTTAACCGAATCATGCCAGTCTTCACTGCCCTGCGAGGTCCAAGTCGCGGACAAAAAGCAGTGCAGTGCAGTGCAGGGTTCTGCGGGAGTCGAGCTGTACCCTGCAGATGAGGACGCGCAAAGCGGACAGAGACTGAACTCTCGCGAGTAGGTCTTGCCGCAAGCGGGCCCCCGAGCATTGAATCAAACACCGTAGGTGGGTGGCAGTGAACGGAGTGAAGGGGGAGAAATGGAGCACGAGGAGGAGGAGGACGCTGCCGACGACTATCAAAGTTTGCCGCTGAATTGACGGCGGCACTGAACCATAGAATCCCACCAGCCCTTTAGGGCGTAGGTGGTCTAGAGAGTTTCCTCTGCCAACCCCCTTCTTCCCCTTCGGGGAGGGGTTTACCCCTCCCCTTACCCCTCCCCACTGACCTGGACGAGGCGTTCCGCGACGCGTTGGGACGTCCAAGATGGCCCAAGACAGCTCCAAGAGCGAAAATGCGAGAAAGCAAAAAACATTGATTTTACCTAGGTTTTGGAAGGATTTTGGCCTCTTGGGGGGGCCCAAGAGGCGATCCGAGGCACTCTAGAGGGGCGAGAGTAATTGAGGCTCCCCCCTTCTTTGATAGATCTCCTCCAAGATGGCCCCAAGTGCGCCCCGAAGGCTCCCAAGAGCGCCCCAAGAGCGCCCCAAGAGCGCCCCCAGAGACCCCAAGAGGCCCCCAAGAAGCCTCTAAGAGGCTGCCAAGAGACCCCCAAGAGGCCCCAAGAGAGTCCAAGATGGCCCAAGACGGCTCCAAGAGCGAAAAGGCGAGAAAGCAAAAAACATTGATTTTCCTTAGGTTTTGGAAGGATTTTGGCCTCTTGGGGGGCCCAAGAGGCGACTCGAGGCACTCTAGAGGGGCAGCGCTAATATACGACCCTCCCTTCTTTGATCGATCTCCTCCAAGATGGCCCCAAGAGCGCCCCGAAGGCTCCCAAGAGCGCCCCAAGAGCGCCCCAAGAGCGCCCCAAGAGGGCCCCAAGAGGCCCCAAGAGGCCCCCAAGATGCCCCCAAGAGGCTCCCAAGAGACCCCCAAGAGGCCCCAAGATGCTCCCAAGATGGCCCAAGACGGCTCCAAGAGCGAAAAGGCGAGAAAGCAAAAAACATTGATTTTCCTTAGGTTTTGGACGGATTTTGGCCTCTAGGAAGGCCCAAGAGGCGATTCGAGGCACTCTAGAGGGGCAACGCTAATAAGCAACCCCCCCTTCTTGATAGATCTCCTCCAAGATGGCCCCAAGAGCGCCCCGAAGGCTCCCAAGAGCGCCCCAAGAGCGCCCCAAGAGGGCCCCAAGAGGCCCCAAGAGGCCCCCAAGAGGCCTCCAAGAGGCCTCCAAGAGACTCTCAAAAGGACACAAGAAGCTCCCCGAGATACGCAAGAGGCCCCCGGGACCGCCAAGAGGCCCCAAAGACGGCCCAAGAGGCCCCCAAGCTCGCCATTGTCCTCCTCCTCCTCCTCTTTTTCTCCTTCCTCCCTCCTCCCCCTCCCCCTCCTCCTCCTCCTCCTTCTCCTCCTCCTCCTCCTCCTTCTCGTCCTCCTCGTCCTCGCCCTCCTCCATCTCCTCCTCCTCATCTTCCTCCTCCTCCTCCTCCTCTTCCTCCTCCCCCTCCTCCTCCTGCTCCTCCTCCTGCTCCTCGTCTTCCTCCTCCTACTCCGACGACGACGACTCCTCCTACATCCTCCCCCTCTTGGAACGTATGGCGGCTTAACCCGCTCTTTGTTCTTCTGCATGCTCCCCCGCTTCCCTCATCACCTCCACTCCTCTGGGGTTCATTTCTGGACGGGCTGGTGGGGATACGCGAAGCGTCTAGAATTACACTAATAATATTTTACCAGCCTGCAGGATTCACGTGCGCCAAACGCGCGCAAAGCGAAAACCAGACCTGTTCTGCGCCCACGTCTGCGGGACGTGCGCCAACCCGCTGCTGCAGCCGTCGCTGCTTCGGGAATCTTCTAGGATCTTCGGGGATCTTCTGATCCGGGTCGATCCAGACCCGGGTCAGCAGGAAACCAAAAACTGCAATGCAAAAACAAAAAAAACTGCAACGCAGGTATTCGCAAACCCGGGTCAGCCAATACGCGCGGCCGCCTCGCGGCCACGAGCGGCTCGCTAACCCGGGTCAGCCAGAGGGGGTCTTCGCCGAATCCTGCAGAATCTGGCGCTCTGGCTGACCCCCGTTTGCACTGACCCCCGTCTCTTAGGCCCCGACTACTGGCGCGTGAGCGCAAGCTCCGGCCACATGCCGCCGACTAAATGACGGCGGCGCCGATGCCTGCACAGACAGAGCTACACAGGCCACACCACGACAGGGCCTGCCCCCATGGCCAGGCCAGGAGATTATGCCCACGACGTGTCGGCGAAAGGGCCGCCCGAGGAGCCAGAGTCACGGAGCTCAGAGCCTGAACTCCCCTGCCGCTGAATTGACGGTGACATTTAAACATGAACTGGCAATTGCACCAAACATATTTTACCAGCCTGCAGGATTCACGTGCGCCACCCGCGCGCCAAGCGAAAACCAGACCTGTACAGAGCCCATGCCTGCGGGACGTGCGCTAACTCGCTGCTACAGCCGTCGCTGCTTGACTCTGCATTGCGCCTACTCGCGTGTGAGCTTACGCCCCGCGGACTCCCCGCCCACGAGGGGCAGATTGGCGAAGGGCTGTCTGCAGAGGTTCTTGAAAACCAGCCCGCAGAGGCGGCGCTCCAGCATGGTGACGGTGCGGTTCTGCTCGGCGCGCACCAGCCTCCGGACGCGGATGGTAATCTGCGCCTGCCGCTGGCGCATGGCCCGGGTTTCCCAGCTGACGTCGCTGAACTCTGCCAGCATCATGTCGGAGGTGCCGTCGACGCGGACCCTCGCCATCGGGGAAGGGGTACGGTCCTGCCGCTCTCGGCCGCGTGCCATGCGGTGTCGGCCTTGGTCCTGCACCTCCTCTGACGTACCCGAGCCTTGGTCCTCCGCCTCCTCCTTCTCATCCACCAGCTCTGCCCCGCTGATGGCGTGGATCTCGGGATCAGCGCCCATCAAACCCGTGTCGATGCCCACCCGAGCTGGAGGTTGGAATTCCTTTCCGCACATGTTTGTCACTGCCTGGTTCGCCGCCGCAGCCATGAAGAAACACTTTTGGACGGGGATACCGTAGGTCTGAGCCCTAATGGCTTGAGCCAAACCCGCTAAGGAAGCAATATTGAAGCCCTCTTGGGGCCTTCTTCTGGCCGTCTTGGGCGCCTCTTGGGCCGTCTTGGGGCTCTCTGGGGCCGTCTTCGGACTTTCTGGTAAACCTCTTTTTGGGCCGTCTTGGGGCGGTTCGGGGGGGGCGTTTGCTTCGTCGTGGAAGCACGAAATGACAACGGAACATGGGGGACCTAACCCCACGGGCGCACCCCGAACCCCTGAGATGAAACTACTATCGGGGGGGATGCGAGGAGGACGGAGGTCCATCATGCCGAAACCGACCAATGAAACTACGTAGTAAGACTGGCGGGGGGGCCCTACCCCAGAGCCCGACAGCACGGGCAGGCTGGCCCAGCCCGAGTAGGATCGGCTTACAAATCGAACCTGGGAGTAACCTGAACAAAAATCTCAATCCTCATCCTCCGTGCTCCCCTCCTCGTTCCATCCTCGTGCCCCCCGCCTCGCCGCCGCCCCTGGGGTGAGAAGGGCAGGGCGGGAGGGTTGGGGGAAGAGGAGGGGGGGAGTAGGGAGGGGAAAGGGAGCAAGAGGAGGAGGGCTCAGAAGGAGGGCGGAGGGCGAAGAGGAGGAGGACGACGACGACGACGCGCACGCACGCGTTTCACACGCGCGCGCACGGCCCAGGCTGGGCCGACGTCGTCGTTGTTACGCCGCCCGCGCTATGCGGGCAGCGCCCGTGCAAGGCGGTCCAGCCGCCTGCTGCCAGGGACCCCTGCAGCTAAACCCGATCTGAAACTGCTTTCTCGAGATTGGTCGCAGCTCCATTTCCCCCGATCTCGATTCGGCTTGAAACGCGCATCGGCCCATGCGGTCGAGCTCCCGACCGATCCAACCTCTAAGTTGGAACGCCCCTCAGGGGGCGCTTCAACTTAGAGGCTGAGCTCGCGCCGAAACTCGTTCGAAGCCGAATCGGGATCGAGGGAACTGGAGCTGCGACCAGTCTCGAGACACGCTCGAGCGCAGCCTACTTCTTGGTCTTCTTGCTCTGGCCGCCGTCGCTCGCGTCGCTGTGGTTCACCTGGCAGCGATGCGAGCGAGCGACGCGCCGTCGTCGTCGCCGTCGCCGCCACTGTCGTCGTCGCCATCGCGGCCGTCACCATCGTCAGCATATCACCGTCACCGTCCTCGGCATATCACTGTCACCGTCGTCGTCATCATAGTCGCCATGGTCGCAATTGTCGTCGTCCCCCTCCTCCTCCTCCACACCTCCCCCATCCTCATCCTCGTCCTCGCCCTGCCCGCATCTCACGCCGCCTCCTCATACACACTACGTCTCGCATCCTCTCGATGCTCCTCCCCTCATCCTCTCGTCATCCCCCTCCCCTACCACCGTCCCTCAAAGTGCCTTCAGCTGCTTCTTCTTCTGCTCGTCCAGCGTCCTCTTCTGGATGTCGAGCGCGGCCTTCATCTCCTCGCGCCAGACCGTCGCCGTCGCGAGCTTCAGCTCCATCTTGAGCAGCTTCAGCAAGGTCTCGACGATCTCGGGCACGGCCGCCTTGCCGCGCGTCGGCTGCACCTGGCCTTCGAACACCATCCGCGGCAGCCACTCCGAGATGACGTCCTTCGCCATCTCGCCGAACCTCACGATCTCCACGATGCGCTCCTTAGAACACTGCCGCGACGACGACGGAGCCGTCACAGCCGCCGCTGACGCCAAGGCCCTCCCGTCCACCCCCGCAAACTTCATCTTGCCGCCACTCGTCCTCCGCCCCCCTCCCACCGCCTCGTCCCCGCCCTAGCCTTTACCCCGTACTTCCTCCTTCATCCTCCTCCTCCCGCCCCTCACCCCTATCACGCTCTCTTCTCAGAGCTCTGAGGGCCGCTCGGGAATGGGGGGGGGGGGGGGAACGAATGCTGAACTCAAGAAGAAGTAACTAGCGTGGACGGGGCAACGGAAAAGCATGAGACGGCACTCGGGCGGATGGCATTCGACGCCGCGAATGCGAGACGGCAAGGCGTGCTAGGGCAATGGCCCACGGCGTGAGCTTGCACATGCCGCTCACCTTGCACAAGTCCCAGTCCGTGCCAGAGCTGCCGCCGCACTTGTAGAAGTACGTGTTCTGGCTCTTCTCGAGGTGCGGCATCGACGGCCACCTGGCGCAGATCGAGGAGCCGACCCTCCACCCGCCATCGTAGAGGCCGCTGTCGTCGGGCTGGCCGCCGAAGTCCTTGCACACGCAGCTCTTGATCCAGCACTCGAACTCCTGGGACGGCGGAGCGGGCGCACAACGAATGCGGATGGGGGAGACAGGGCAGGGACACGGAGGTGGGGGAGGGGGCGTCATGCAGGGTGCGGGGCGGGAGGACGGGGATCGAAACGGGCCAGATAGGGCAGCGGCTCAAGGAGTGAGAGGGAAGCTCGAGCTGACAGAAACAAAGCGGGCTTTGCATATATAAACGTGTCTACCCCGATGCGGCGTTCGAAACGACGTGACATTTCGGCGCCAAACGAGAGGCGGTCCTTGCGCGTCGGGAGCGACGACACTCCGTACCCGAGCTTGTCGTTGCCGACGCCCCAGAACTCGACGCCCGAGAACGTGGGGCCAGGGACTACGGCGTCCGCCAACTGCGCATCAGCAGTCGAGGATGGACCAAGCCACGAAATCTGCATCCGCAAACCCTCCCTCCGCCGCGGCCGCCGACTGACCGTTCCTGACCCGAGGGCGAGTGGGCGGAACGAAAGGAGTGGTGTCGGAGAGGGGGCTAAGGAGAAGGAAAGGGGAATATGGGTGGAGGCGAGTGGCGAGGATGAGAGAGCGAATGGAGGGGAGATGGATGAGGCAGGGAACAATCGATAGGAGAGACGCGTGGGGGTGAGCAGCACGGGGTGGCGAGACTGAAAGCATTGCCGTGCCCCTCCCATTCCAACCAACCCCGCCCACCGCATTATGCCCCACTCCCTCACTACCCATCCGCGATCCCTCCCCATCCGCACCGCTCGCACCCTCTGGAGAATTGGGAGTGCGAAGCATTCCAAATAGTCCGTGTCGAACCATCGGCAGAGGCTGAGGTGGCCCGAGCGGCCAGCAGCCTGGGAGGCGCAGCTGGGAAGAACAATCGACACAAGCGCGACCCCGCAACTGCGTACCCGAGCACCCCGTGAACCGACTGACTGTTCGTAATACAGCTCTACCCTCTAACCCAGAAGCCCTACGAGGATATCACACCGCGCGGCGCGCAGCCTCGTGGTCCCTCATGAGAACAGCGATCTGCTCCTCGTAGGACACCGCGCCGCTCCCGCTGTGGCCCTGAGAGGCCGAAGAAGAAGCACCCTTCGAAGATGACGCCATGGCCCACGGCGCCCCGCAAGTGGGCTGCCCGAAAAGGGAAGGGGGCACCTCGCTATCACGGCTGCTGCGACGGGGGTAAGAATGGCTCCGCATACCTTGCGGCCCCTCTGCCTCGGCCCCCCTGCATCGGTACAAAGTCTCGGTGCGCCTATTCGACCCCCCGTTGCATCGAGTGTGTCTCTCTCTCTTTCTCTCTCTGTCTCTCTCTCTCTCTCTCTCTCTCTCTCTCTCTCTCTCTCTCTCTCTCTCTCTCTCTCTCCCTAACCCCCCGCTCTCTCTTGGCCCCCCTCGTGCTAACTCCCGTCGGAATGTCAGGGCCTTTGCCTTCGCCCGAAGCCGCTCCGCGGCGTCGAGGCGCTCGGGGCCCCTGGGGAATGCCGATGTCCTAAGCGCAACTTGTCCCAAAAGGATTTCCGTGGCCTCGCACTCTGGGCGATCCTGCCACGAGCTCTCCCGTGCCACGAGTCCTCCACCTGCCACGAGTCTGCCACGAGCCCTCCCGTGCCACGAGCCCTGCAACGAGCCTGCCACGAGCCAGTGGCTCATCCTGGACCCTCCCAGGAGCCCCCCCGTGCACTCCAGGCAGCCGACCTGCTCGAGTGCATGCAATGAATTGCACGCGCTCTCTCCACCCGTGCATCCACAAAAAGCAATCGTGCTGCCCTCCGAGCCTCTCTCCCGAGTGCGCCCTCTGAGATATGCATTTGGGCTCTCTGACTTCTGCTGCCCAGTGCCCGCCCCGCTCCCGCTAGCCAAGCTCCCTCTCCCATTCTGGCGTGAACCCGCATAATACGCATATCCACGACATGCCCGCCACCGCGGCCCCGATCCACCCCCGACCTGGAAGGCGCCCGCGGAGCGTCCGTGGCCGTTAGGAATCCGCCGCGCCAGTCCTGAGACGAGGCCCTGGACATCATCAGCCGACCCGCCGCATGCCCCTCCCCACCTCCCCTCCACTCCCCTCCACCCCCACCCCCGCGATCCTCCTACCAATTCTCCCTCCGCCCCTCCCCCAGGACGCGGCGGCATTTCTCGTCATCGCGGCGCCGCCGCCCCTGTATTCAAAAGATCCGTGCAGGAACGAGCTACTCCAATCACGCAGCTACTTAGGGCCACCGAGCTTTGGGAGCCACACGTTGCAAGGGTGAACTCTGTAACGCTGCTGCTTGGGCTTTCTAGGGGTCGCGCTCACGGCAAAGCCGCGGGACCTCTTCCTGGACACGCGAGGGGTCGGCTCGGGGTCGGGCTCAGACCAGAGATCAGCAAGGGGAATGCAGCAGACCGTCGTCTTGGCGCATTCGCTGGGGCCGCCCTCATCGCCACTGTCCGCGACCACAATGACTGCCTTGGCCGCCCTGGCGGCCTTCGCCGCCTCCCGCGCCGCGCGATTGCGCCGCATCTGCGCCCACTCCCACGGGAAGGGCATCCACAAATTGTCCCCCTCGAAAAGGTACGACTTCTTGGAACCAGGGCCCGTCGACATGGCTCCAGCCCGCCCCTGAGGGCAAGCTCGAAAGCGCCCCGAAAACGTAAGAGTGCAGACAAACTCGGTCCGCTGACGGACGGGCGGAGCGGGCGCGGCACATGGGGAGGAGGGTAGGGGAGGCTCGAGGGAGGGCGAGAGGCGGGGGGGGGGAAGGGGAATGCGAACCACATCAAACCTTCCTACGCCAAGTCCTGCATACGTGCGCCCAGA